GGTGTAATAATGGACTCTGATCTCAGTTTTAGCAATCATGTCAAAGCGGTTATTAAATCAGCTTTTTATCACCTTAAGAACATCAACAAGATCAGAACGAGAGATTTTATGACTAAAGCAGACCTGGAGAAACTCATCCACGCCTTTATTTCTAGCAGGATTGATTACTGTAATGGTCTCATAACTAGACTCCCAAAAAACACAATCCAACATCTTCAGATGATTCAAAATGCAGCTGCCAGAGTCTCAATAGGAGTAAAAGAAGGAAACACATCACCCCATCCTTAAATCCTACCAGTCAGACTACCAGTCTGTTACAGAACTCAGTGGTGCAGGAACAGCATATTTATCTGACATGCTGCAGCAATATGAGCCGAGCAGAACTCTTAGATCACTAGGAAATAGTCAGTTAGTCCTGCTGAAGGTAAAGACTAAACATGAAAAAGCACTGGACACTTTTAAATCCAGGCACAAAGCGCTCCTATATGAGCAGATTTCAGCTCAGTTTAAAACACTGTTAGCTCTTTTAGCCCTTCTCCTCTGTAATGGCGCTTTATTATCTTATATTAAATTTTTATTTGATTTTTAATTTAATGATTTTCTCTTCTAAAATCTATTGTTTTGATCATGTTTTAGTCATGTTTTTAATTTCTCACCTTCACTTTATGTTTTTGTATTCTCCTTTACTTTTTAAATGACTTGTAAAGCACTTTGAATGACAGCAGTGTATGAAAGGTGCTATATAAATAAACTTGCTTTGCCTTGCCTTTTAAAGGCATTACATTCTTCAGATGTTTGGTTCCTATCACCACCACTTTGAACAATTCTGGTTTTGTAAGGTTCTCTAGAACAATGCATTTCACACTAAACCACTCTGAATGATCTTGTTTGTTTCTTAACAATTTACTTTTGCAGACATTTTGAAAAATTGGGCAATTTCCTTTTAAAATCAGTATTGGCAACAACATTTCCATTTTTTTTGGTCGGGCCCAGGTATACACTCCCATAGATGCAATCTGTATCTGCACAAGTGGGTATATGAGATCAAAGTACAAGAATTTTAGTCAAATTTGCTATTCATATTTGTAAAGCATTAATCAAATTTTTCAATATCCAGAAACATCAGACACACAAAAAGCATCTTACTGTTACTGTACTGTATTAAACGCAGACCACAAAAATCTATATTAGGTTACAAGTTACTAGCCTAGTCATATCATAACTTGTTTCACCTTAAGCAAGAAAACGCTGTTTTTTGCCAAAGAGTTAGTCACATGTCACCAAACCTGATGAAAGTTTAAACCCAATAAATTTATAAAAGTGTAAGATGAGTCTGAATACTATGTTTGTTGGTGCTTTTCTGCAGTGCTTCCTATGTGCCATAGCTGTGCTTTGTGCTGTCTGCTGCACTGTGTGGCGCTTCTCATCTGGTGGGCAATAACCTTTAGTAGTCTAAAGAAGACTTTCAGTGCTTCCTACTTTGAATGAAACAGATAATAATCTATGAAACAAACCTCGAGACACAGTCTCTTCAGTGCTCTTCAGTGGAGTGTAAAGTATAAAAATATCTCATGGTTCTTAAATATAAGAACATATAAAGCAAAGCTAAATAGTTGATCGAAATCTACCTCTAATCTAATTTACTATATTCTAAACTTTCATGATTATTCAAATGTTTGAAAAACACAGACTCCTCCATAATAACACCGATAGAAGTAGATGCTAGTGCTGAGAACACTGGCTCCTTCCACAAAGAAAATTCCAGCATGGACGTGACACTATTCACATGGGCTCGTGTTCAGATGACTCAAACACTGAGGGAATATGAGCAACAGAGAGCAAGCAGAATATCACCACCATCATAACAAAACCCCGTAACTCCAGTTCTTGGTTTTTATCTCTTTTTATGCCTTTTGAAAACACCAACTGTCCTTTCCATTGTGTGAAAGGGCCAAACAAAAACACATACATTATTTGGAATAACATTTTGTTTTATTATCAAACAATTTTTTTCCTTTTTCTTTACATTTATCATTTTGGAGTTTGGAGTCTCACAACAGTGAGAATATAACAGGACTGGTGAAAGGGCTTGGGAGAGGAAGGAATTTGCCTGTGTTTAAGTGCTTAGAGAGTAAACATAAGGGATATCTAACACCCGTGTGTGCTGTCCTAACATCACACTACACGCTCAGAAAGACACACAAACAGCCTGTTCTCATCAGACCACACCAACTCCCACCAACAAAGACCGGACCAGTTCCATTAAAGCCGCCCAGTGTTGTAACACTGGACGAACAGGCTCTGTCTGGCTACTCCGGTCACTTCAGAGTGCGCCAGCTAAAATGCTCAGATATAATACAAAAAGAAAGTCAGTGACAACGTCTTGAAGGAATGTGAAATATTCCACCACGTCTTTGAGACATTCTGGAAAGCGAACACACAGAAAAGGCCTTGAGAGAAGGAAAGGAAAGGTTTATTCAGCTTGTAAATACAGGATATTATGCAACATCTTATGGCTGATGTATAAGACTCTCAGGCTTGTGAGCACTACGTTTGAAGAGATTATATAGATCGGTGGTAAACTAGGGCTAAGCTTCCTTTGTGGTCTTGTCACTTGAGGCAAGAGAAAAAAATGTGGCTTGTCAAGAACTGTTCAGCACAGATCTGACTAAATTGACATGTCCAGACTTAAGTCATCAAGCGAATTCCAGCACATAACTTTTTAACAATGGCAAGATCGTCAGCACTGATAGTGAGTGGATGGTTTCACGTGAGAAATGAACATTGTGATCCTTTCTTTTAAGCACAGAGAAAATAAATCTGTCTACAGATTATGCAACAGACAATGGGAATGAAAAGGACTTTGAAGGAGAGTTTGTCTAACATCATTTGTTTTCAGAAACAAAACTGTTTTGGTGCTTCTAAATGCATTCAACTAAACAGTAACAGCATATTCAGTGCTACAAATAACATTTACATCCTGGAACACATTCCAGCCAAGGATAAAAAGGGCTCAGTGCCATTCATTATTATGTAATTACATCTCAAATTGATTGGACTTGGCGGTGGTTTGATTTTTCTCCCTCTTTTCATGTAGCTGTCACGCCGATAAAGCAGAGAGGAGGCGAGCTGAAGAGAGCGGCTAAAGTAGCTCTTTAGGCCGTTCCGCCGGAGAAAAAACCCCATGCTGACTAACAAACAATGCTGTTTTGGAGAGGGCCAGCGCCAGGCTCAAATGAAGCCTAGCAGGGGGGTTTGGAATGGGGGCTAAAACTGGACACGTCAGTTATTAGGGCAGAGAGAAGAGAGAAGACTGCTCTGCGTGATTGTGGAGGGGGTAGTGAGTGAGTGGAGAGTTGAGTACTGCTAAGCTGAGTGGGGTTTGTGAGATGACACTGTCAGAACTGCAGGGATTCTACTGCTAAAGCCATCAGCCCCCTTCACACACACCCACCCCACCCTCTCCTTCCTTTTTCCCTCCATCCCTGACATGAAACATGCACACTTGTGCAGTGTGGTCTTGGTCAACTGAGGCATTTTAACCCCTTAAACTGCAGGCCTATTGTTTAGTTAACAATCTTAAAACTCAGTAACTATAACATTACTTTTAACTACAATTAAACAACTATATAAGGTATGCAGTTATTGCCTTAAACCACAGGCTAGTTATTCACGTATTAATGCTAAGACTTATTATTCAGTAACTTATGAATTATTCAGCTACTATTAAACTAATATAGCATGTAGCAGAGAGGAGCCCTCAGGGCCTTCTAGGCCTTAAGAGATTTCAATTTCTGTGAGATAAAAAAATAATGTCAGAAATGTTTGGTTCTTTTTGATGTAACAAAATAAATGTGCTTGTTGTATTTAAACTCTGCAAGTATTAAACTTATACTCTTGTTAATTTAATACAAAAGGGTTAAATTCCTGAAATGCTCACTGGAAAATAATCCAATCAGGATTTTTTCTCTTTGTTATATAGGTAGATAGAGCAAAATGAACAATCCTATTGGTTAGGTTTTTAGGAGCTGAACTGAAGGCCTAATATATCTGAACAGCAGACTCAACCAATCACATTTTGATATACAAAGGGACCAATTTTGGGGAAAAATGTCACTCTAGGCCTTCTGGAAGTTCTAGATACATCACTGAGAGTAGTAGACTGACCACTGCGTTTCAGTCAGAAATAAAAACAGCAGCTCAAAGCCAGGCTTCTTCACTGAAGAAGTCAGTGTAAAATGCTATAAGGTAAAACCAATGTTAATATGTCTGTTACAAGCTGTATATAAAACATCAAATGCTGTTTACAAGCTTTAAATGTTAATCCAGAATGATCACAAAATGTAAATGTGAACTGCTGTTAGCCTAGCATTAACATTGTAGTAGAATCCCATAAAGGTGCTAGAAACTGGTGTGAGTGTGACATGTATTGCCTGAACGTAAGGCCAAGCTCTAATGGTAAGCTACTGTTACTCTCTAGACGTATTATTCCATAGCTATTATTAATTATTCCGTAACTACTATGAAAGTAATATAGTATGTAGAACTGAAAGTGAATAATTGAAGTGTCAGCCGGTGCAGTTTAAGGAGCCAAAGTATGAATAAGAGTAAGCCAGTTCTATTTGAACGTGTACACTTTTGAATTTCTTACATGGGTCATTCTTATTATTTTTCTCACAATGAATCTTTCCATGCTCGATCCTAACATCTGTTTTTTGTACCAACTGTTGAACAAGCTTTATGGAACACTGGTAAAAAACTCACTCGACATAATGAAGTTAGAGATGGAGTTCAGAATCTCCATATAACATTTTTCCACTTTAAAATAACAAAGAGCTAAGCTAATATGAAAAAGCTAATACATCAACTGCATAATGTTTACATTCAGCACACTAGTAAAATGCTTGAGATCTCTTCCACATGGACATAGCAGCAGCACTGTTTAGAGGCTTGTCACTGCAAAGAAATGGCTTGAAAGAATAAAGCATGGTTATACTTACTATATGGGACAATGGGACTCAGCATTCTGCGGACCTTGGCTGGTTTAAGGTGACAGGTTTGCAGGGGAACCCAGATTAGCGTATGTCCGGCTATAGTCCATCGCTGGCTTGTGCTTGCACTGGGACACTACAGATCCAGATCCTTTCCCTGAAACACATTGAGAGGCGTGCTTAGATACTAAACAAGGGCTGAGCACATAAACACAAACATGAACACGCACAGCGTGCAAAGCGTGTTTACTATGCTAAGTTCCAGAAGCCTGCAAACTTTAATAAACAAATCCAACAAAGCAACTCTAAATTGAAACTGACAGTCATGAAGGCTCGCGCTCGGACCCGCTCCCTCTGTGGGCTGGACACACACAGGGGTATTCATTAAGGGCCAGCACGCAGGCATTAAGCTGATTGTATGGCTCTGTCCAGGCTCTAAAGAAGGCTTTCTAAAATCTGCCTCACAAAAAAAGCCCCACGCATACCACAGTGGCGCTGTGCTCTGCACCAAACAGCAATAAAGGGAGCACTTTCACAAGACTATGCACATTTCAGACCAGCCCTGCATTCTCAAGCCTCAATATTCGTTTCACAAGACACATTTCTTTCCATGCTGGGAACTGAACATGATTAAAATTGAAAGAAAACTTATTTTGCATTTCTTCAAATTCCAACTGAATGATATCCAATTGATATACATACATATATATATCAATAATAATGCAAATTATATATATGATTGAATAATAAATGTCATATATATATATATATATACATATATATATATATATATATATATATATATATATATATATATATATATATGTATGTATATATATATATCGCTTTTTTCAGTGCAATTTACTTGATTCATATATAAAAACAGCTGTATGCAAAAGTTTGGGCACCCCTGGTCAATGTACACATTTTGTTGATTTTCTAAGTGAAAATAAGTTAACACATCCTCTACTGAGAACTCACTTATAAGCACAATTACTGTTTATTTGCTGAATTAAACAAATTAGGGCAAAAAAATAAAACACAAATTGTGGCCTGTGCAAAAGTTATGCCACATTTTATATTATGTATGTTTTTTTCCCGATATATTAAACTAATTAAGCAAATAAATACAAACTACAATTTCAATTTGTGTAATAAAAGTTGCAGAAAAACATATATATTTAGGTTTCCTATAGATGATGTGTTTATTTCACTCAGAAAGTCATGTATAGAGAATGTATTAACTTATTTTTACTTACAAACTGAACAAAATATGCAATTTGACCAGGGGTGTTCCAACTTTTTCACACGATTGCAGACCATTTTACATGAAAAAATATACTGCACATTTCATCATTTCAGTTTTCTGACTATGCCATTTATTTGATGAAAGTCGGAAACAATGCACACATTTAAATCAAGACAATTCAATGCAGGACTTTTTTCCAGTGACATAACTAATTTTATGAAATAAAAAGATGCTTGTGGTCTGTGAATTATTCAGATGATAAAGGCCACCAATGAGCACTGAAACTGAGCTCCGACAGCCTCTGTGTTGTAGAGGAGAGGAGAATGCCTTTCTCTTTCATGTGAGAGCGCAGAGCAGCTCACACATGAATGAAAAATATTACATAATCATGCCAGCCAAACAATGTTGTTTCTTGCGCTGCTCTAGGACGCCACAGCACTGAATGCGTCCTGACACGCTGTTACTAACAATACAACATTTTTACACTACTAAATCCAGTTCAGTCGAAAGACGTTCAGTACACTGACCATAACAGGTATAAACCAACAGAAATACACAAATGTTGACCTGTTAGCTGCATTATTAATAAACTATGGTATGCAGTCTGTTCAAATATAATTAGAAAAAAAAACTTTTAAAATGAAGCCTAATTTTTGCAGAAACACCAATAGTTGGAACAGAAGTAGGGAAGTAACATAGGAAACAGCCAACAGCAAAGACAGAATGGAAAATATAGATAACCTAGTACATCATAACATTAAATTTCCTTCATTTTGACTAAAGCTCGTTTGCTCAACTGTTAAAAAAAGGCCACGCTTTAAAACTTCCAAAGACGCCTGATACACTTTAACCAGCACATGCATACAGGCACAAACACGGAAACGCCAGAAACACTGCTTCTGGACCCCACTGTATGCTTAAAAAGAGACACCTGCATGCAGGAGCGCATTACACCATAAAAAAAGGAGTGAAAATGAATGAGAGTGTGGAGGAGCTTGAGAGAATTCAGAGTGCAGATTTTCAATCATTTACAACTCAAAAGAAGCCCAAAGCTACAGTCAGTCTACCTGCTTACTGCTTACTTTCATAGTCTATCAGATAAAGAGAGAGAGCGAGGGAGAGAGAAGGGAGAGGGACTCAAAGCTTACCTCCTCATGCCTGCATTTCTTCATCAGATTCAGAACCAGTTAGATAATCCCCGCGCTCGCGTGTATGTGTGTGCAGGGCTATGTTTTTTCCACATATGGGACACGACTCCACTCTCTCCCTCTCTCTCTCTCTCTCTCTCTAGTGACAACACACACACACACACACACACACACACACACACACACAATCCCCCTCCCCCACCATTCCCATCCCCCTCTCCCTCCTCCCTCTGTCTTTCTTGTTAAAAGTATTTAAGCAGAGAGAGAGAGAAAGAGAGAGAGAGAGAGGGGTGGGCAGCAAAAGGGTGGGGGCAGCTGACCAATCATGCTTGCAGAGAGAACACTGACCACAGTGAGAGAGAGAAATACAGAGAGAAACAGATAACTAAGAAAGAGAGACAGACAGAGAAAAAGGAGAGTGAGAGAGAGAGAGAGAGAAATACAGAGAGAAACAGATAACTACGAGAGACAGAGAGAAAAAAAAGGAGAGTGTGAGAGAGAGAGAAATACAAAGAGAAACAGATAACTAAGAAAGAGATTGAGAGAAAAGGAGAGAGAGAAAGATAAAGAGAAAGAGGTAACTAAGAAAGAGAGACAGAGAAAAGGAGAGAGAGAGAATGAAATAGAGAAACAGATAACTAAGAAAGAAAGAAAACGAGAGAGAGAACAGAGAAAAAAGAAGATAGAAAGGGAGGAGATATATAGACGGAGAAGATAGATAGAGAGAGAGAGAGAGAGAGAGAGAGAGTTTAGTTGGAGGGAAGGGCACAGGCTGGATCTTCCCTCCAGTGAGTTTAGTGTGAGTTTGGTGTGTTAGTAAAACTATCCATTCTGTAAAACTGACCACTTTGGCCACACTGACCACAAATTGACATTCTATTGGAGAAACCCTTAAAAATGACGATAAACATGGTGAGCAGTCACTACAAATAGACACACTGAACACTACAGCCTTATCTAAATTAATTAAAAACTAAAACTGGCCACAGTTTTGACTGACAACATGTGCATTATTGCGTAAAAGTGACCCAAAACAGCCACCATGAATGGACACTGAACACCACAATAATTATTTTCTACAAACAAATTCTACGGCAACACGAATGCTGAAATGACTTTCTGCAGATGGTCAATGGTCTGACATCAGCAAAAGGCTGTGACAGCCATGGGAACTGTTTTATTGACAACAAAGTCCACTCTACTGGTTATGCTCAAACGGTTACTGCTTAGTTTGAGCTTTTTCTGGACATTCAACGACTACTGGCCGGTTTCCGAGACATGGATTAAGCTTGGGCTCAGTTGCAGTTCCCTTTAGTGAGTCACTATTGGAAAATTTTTTTAGTCTACCCTTAGGCCAGTGGAGTGCCCAAATGATCTTTTTTTTTGGGGTGTAGTAAGGGTGACATCCACCAACTAGCCAACTTCATTAAATCTAAATTTTTAGATTTGAAATGTTCCATCCACTGTCATAAACAGAGGGGGATAAACATACTTGAATATTAAACACAGCACACAATTGCTTACTTTGCATTTAGCAGGCTAACATTAGTTACTACAACAACTGACAGCAGACCACAGTGGGCTGACATAAAAATGTGGCTAAGAATGTGAACTAACAAAGCTAAAAATTGAGAATTGAGTTTTATTTATTTTGTGTCACAAACAAACAACCTTTTGAACAAGAAAACACATTGATATGAATGTAATTCACGCATCAGTTGTGTTTTATTGTTACTGGTTAAACAAAACAATAAGAAGCAATAACCAATCCGAGCTCTGATTGAGCTCACGCACTCGCTCAGAAAAAACTCAACATGTCCAACAATAAAGGAAGCCTTGTGCATCTTTTATACAGTGATAGAAAACACAGCAGCACAGAGAAAGCCCTTTTCTATATGCTGTTCTGTTTCACTCGAGCCAACATACACATGCACACCGTAACTCCTCTGGAGGCAGATTTAAATGAGTTAAAAGGGCCATCACCAAACTTTCAGAATGGATCACTGGTGAGATGCTCTGTTTCACAGGGTTAATCACAGGCCTAGTTAGGAGTAGATGAAGTGACTGATGGCAACATGTAGCCATGTAAACATTGCCATGGTGATAGAAAGAGCTTTGGCGGTCTCTTTAACTGTTTAAGGTGGAAAAACAGTGATGAAAATGCAAGAACTCGACCTCAACTTTACATTTTGTAATATTTTCATTGCCATCGATATTTTTAATTGGCATCTAAGTGGGGGCTCCTGCAGCTACACCCCTTTTTAGGTTTAAGTCTGTAAAACTATAAAGTCTGTGCTGAGCCTTCTACTGTGTCCAAAAACAGTAGCCAGTGTATATGTGTGTACATCTCCATGTGTACGAACCACTACCTCATGCCACCTAGCCTGTTAGCATGGGCGGAGCTACAGAGCAGCTCTGTTTACAGACACTTCCTCTGCTCACATTTCCACAGGTGGACTGAGTCCTGCACTCCGAGATATTTTTGGAGTGCTCCAGCAATTCGTGCGTATGTGTGTGTGAAGTCCTCTGTGTGTGCATCAGTGTGTGTGTGGCAGCCACTGCAGCACAGCTGAAGAGCTGTTTTTAGAGCAGTGCGCTGTGCCGTCCACCGTACACTACTGATCCTGTTACAGAGACTCTTCAACATTGCAGGCTTCCATAGACCTCAAGTGTTACACTGCCCTTTATCGCCACCCAAACCCACGAACAGAGCTCCACTAGTGAGCATGCACAGTTACACTGTGTTCAAAACAGTCCCCTAATCACTAGGGATACATTTGAAGGTGGCAACACCAATGCATCATTTTTGGGATGGTACGGCCAATTATAATCAACTGTAAAAATAAACAACAATGTTTGTGCTAATTTTGGACAAAATAAAATGCTGTGGCTAAAAGAACAATAACATTAAGTAACATTTGTGTTTTCAGTGTTTCACTGTACCAGAATAACTGAATGGAACTGAAATGAACTGTGGCTGAAATGAATCTAAGATTTCATAATACACTGAAACGCTTCCTAAAGAACTGTAATTAAATCAGATTAGGTATTGGAATCAGGCTGATATTATTTACATTTACACATATGGCAGATGTTCTTATTCAGAGCAACTTAATATTTCATCATGTTACATAGCGTTAGGTGTCTTGCCCAAGAAATCTTGTTAGTACAGCAAGGCGCACTTTAGGAGGGCAGACGTGTATTCCACTACACTATATCAACCACACACTAACCTGACATCAGCAAAAAAATGCTGAATCAGATATTAGGGGAAAAAAAGAAGGAATCTGATCCAATACTGTAACAAATCTGTCCTGAAATAGCACTCACTCCCATTGTGTAATGCGATGTTGTTAGCTGTACATTTCTTCCTGTGGGGTAGTAGAGTGTTTGATAGCCTACTTTTAGGTTAAGTGAAGAGCATCAACTAAAAATAGCTCATTTTAAAGTGTAGTAGTTTTTAAAGAAAAAGAAATGTTTTTATTGTTGTATTGGTTTCATTCGATACTCAAGATTTCAATATCAGTATTGGTACCAGAAAAGAAAAAGTGCTGACATCCCTAAATCAAATAATAAAGTCATAGTTTTATCTCAATATCCTCTAAGCACTATTTCCTATATTGAAAAACTGAGAGCAGTGAAATGGACATGCAATTTGTAATTAATATAAATAGTTTTGCACATTACAACTTCCCTAGTGTGTTTTTGCACTACCCACTGCAGTGCACTGTGGGATTGTATGAGTGCTCTGGATATTCTCCACTGTCTTCAGACAGCCCCCTTAAACAGTGCACTATGTAGTAAATAGGGCGCAGTTTGGGACATAGCCTTCCTTTTCCCTTCTAAAAATAAGAGGGTGAGGCCTGCATGGGATTTTGTGTGCAAACCTCTGCAGCAGGACGCACTCCGGTTGGTGTCCAGCATGGCAGGGGGTCCGACCCCCAAGGGAGGTACCAACCAAGCGGATGGCCAGTTTCCACGCCAACTCCACACAGCAACTTGCCCCATCAGCATCTATAAAAAAACTATCCTTTTGTCCAACAAAGGCCTTTTATTCAGACGCTGCCATTCAGCAGCCCTTCCATTCAACAGAAACTTCCTCACAAAAAGACTCAACTGACTCTATTCTCCGTGGTGCTCCAGGGCTAAGCTCTGTATCTGTATCTGTATCACCACACAAAGGCCAGAGTGAAATAGCAGACCATTTTAATCTCTTTTTTTAACTCTCAGAAGAAGTGCCTAGGTCAGACAACATCAGTCAAATAAATAAGTGCTGCCAGACTGACACATAAAAGTGTACTGTACATAGTCAATTTGAGAGTTATGCTTTATTGTGAATTAGAGATTTGTTGTGTAGGTTTTTCTGCCAGGTTAATGGTAACAGGCTGATGATAGTGAGCGAATGGCTGCAGGTTGGCAGAGTTGCATGAGGATGTCCACTGCCTTCAAAGGAAAAAAAAATCTGCCATTAGTGCTGAGGCAAGCAGTCTGACCACTGCAAGCTTGCTGAGAACAGCACTATGACCAAAAAGCACCACACTTCAGAGAGAGAGAGAGAGAGAGAGAGAGAGAGAGAGAGAGAGAGAGAGAGGGGCTTAAGCCACTGTGAGTGAGTCTGACAGGTGTCACTCCACCAAATCATCCAACATTCAGCACTGGTTGTAAAGACCAACAAAAGCCAAAGACAAACACAGAGGACTTAAAGCGATAGGTCAGCGGAAAATACATTCTACAGCTTTCTCCGTAATTGATCAGCCAAGGTAACTTCGGTGTCTGAAGTTAGCTTCTGTAGTTCTGCACGAGGCTGATGTAGCTAACAAGTAATAAAAGCTCATACCCCACCAATTACCACTGTACAAACTGCATGCCTAAATCATCACACATATGCTTCAAATTTATCTCAGGAAGACTTCAGTGACACTTTAGTGTAGGGTTGGCCTAGCAGTTTTCATAAGACTATGACCCCTGCATAAGCAATTCAGGAAAACTGACACAGACCAGACGTTTAGAAACATTTATTCCAATAGTCATCATTTAGCATAAAGGCTGCATTTGCCAACTCTAATGGCAAGCTGACATAACATCTATGTCAGGTGACAGGTGTTTTTAGGTTGTGTTGTATCACTTTTTGGGGGCATAGACTTTCTTGCTTGTGTATGTCATGGTGATATAATGCTGC